AATATATGAAACGGTTAATAAAAATATAGCCTTCCTTAAGCAAAGGTGGTATCATAGCAACAATAAAAAAATAAAGATCTTTCGAATAAAATTAAGTACCAGCTTAAAGATGTCCATAAAAAAAATTGTTATAGGTGATAAACATTTAAGTTCACCAAACGACATTGCTAAAGCATTTGTAGATTTTTACAGATCTTTATATAACTTAAAGTACGTAGAGAGAAGCAATAAGGAAATAGAATATTTTTAAATTAATATTAAACTCCCAAAAATAAATCAAAAGAAATTAGATATATGGAACGCTCCATTTTTGTTGTCTGAGGTAATAGAGGCAATAGATAACCTTAAATTAAATAAAGTGCCTGGCTCTGACGGCTTTTCCGCATCTTTTATAAAACTTTTTCTAGACTTATTGCTCCTGTCCTTTTGAAAATATATACGGAAGTGTCGGTAGATAATCCATTTCCTAATGAGATGCTGTTGGAATCAATTATTCCTATACCAAAAATAGATAAGGATCCATGATTCATCACTTATAGAGTTAAGTGGACACCGGGATGTTTGGGTTCGGCTGGGTTTGCCTGAACTTCGATAAAAATTCCAGGTTCGGGATCAAACTTGACCCCGAACCCGAATCCCATTGAAGTAAATGGGCACCTGAACTTTTGGGCACAAAAATGCCTCTAAAAAAGTCCTGGAAAGGGCTAGAGGGCTGCAAAGGGAAGTAAAATGGGGGTAAGAGTAGGACAAGTGGCCTGCAAACAAATGTGGATAGGGAAAATCACTTAAAATAACATTAAATATCTAAAAATGAAAAATACAGCTGAGCCATAAAATAGCACTAGATGGAATCTTTGATTTTAGCTTTGGAAGAACATAAATCAAAATCTAAAGCATGGCTGTCAGGAGGATCAACAGAATTATCCATTTGAGAGAGGGTTGGAGTGCAGGATATTCTCTTTCATGTTTCAAACTGAGCTCAACTCCTGATGCATGGAGAAAAGGCCTTCACAAGTCTCTGCTATTGTGTACATAGTTTATACTAAGTGACCTATAGGTTGAGGATGCGATGACCGTGGCGGTGTAGGTGGAAGCTGCAGTGGAGGAGGAGGAAGAGGTAGCCAACACTGTTTTTATTTATGTTTTTTTTTTGGGACATATAAAAAAAGAAACATTTGCGGCCTGTGGTGCATTTCTTGCAGTCCAATAATGCCATCTGGTTTTTAAAACTGTCCGTCTCCACCAGACGGAATGCCAGCATTTCAAAGTCCAGGAATTTTGAAATGCTGGCATTCAGGGCCATGGATCGCGGGTGGGTAGGGGGGTACTTCCTTTCTCTCCAGTGTTTGGGAGATGGACAGCTGAACGTTTCTACTGGACAGTGTGGGACCGGTGGCGGATGTGGTGGTGTTGCTGCCACATCCTCTGCGGGGTGGCAGGTGCCACTGTCACTCCAGAGGTGGAGGAAGAGGCCAAGACAGCAGCAGAAGAGGAAGCAGGAGGAGCCTGAGACCTTTCTTGGTTTTTGATGTGCTTACTCCACTGCAGCTCGTGCTTTGCATGTAGATGCCTGGTCATGCAGGTTGTGCTCAGGTTTAGCACGTTTATGCCTCACTTCAGGCTCTGATTGCACAGCATGCAAACCACTAGTGTCTTGTCGTCAGCACATTGTCTGAAGAACTGCCACGCCAGGGAACTCCTTGGAGCTGGCTTTGGTGTGCTCGGTCCCTGGGTGCGGTGGGCAGTAGCAGGCCTACTGTCTAGGGGACGGCCGCTCCACTTTTGCACCCTGCTCTAGGAGGAGGAGGTGGATGTGGAGTAGGAGGTTGAGGAGGCTGTGACCGTGGTGGTGTAGGTGGAAGCGGCGGTGGAGGCGGAGGAGATAGCTAACACTGTTTTTTTGGTTTTTTTAATTCGGGTAGCCCCCAAAATATTGGGACATATAAAAAAAGAAACAGTTGTGGCCTGCGGTGCATTTCTTGCAGTCGGATAACGCCATCAGGTTTTTAAAACTGTCCGTCTCCACTAGACGGAATGACAGCATTTCAAAGGCCAGGAATTTTGGAATGCAGACATTCAGGGCCAGGGATCGTGGGTGGGTAAGGGGGTACTTCCTCTTTCTCTCCAGTGTTTGGGAGATGGACAGTTGAACGCTTCCATGGGACAGTGTGAAGATGCTGGACAATTATGTACCTGGCCTATGCTGGTGCAGGAACCCACCCTCCGAGCCACATGTGAATGACTGGCCTGATAACCGTGGAAATGACCCCTCTTCCTCCTCCTCTTCCTCCTGTGCCACATCCTCTTCCATCATCGCCCAAAGCGTTTTTTCAAGGAGACATAGAAGCGAGATAGTAAGGCTGAGAACGGCGTCATCAGCACTGGCCATGTTGGTGAAGTACTCGAAACAGCGCAACATTGCACACAGGTCTCGCATGGAGGCCCACTCATTGGTGGTGAAGTGGTGCTGTACCGAAGAGTGACTGACCCGTGCGTGCTGCAGCTGAAACTCCACTATCACCTGCTGCTGCTCGCACAGTCTCTCCAGCATGTGCAAGGTGGAGTTCCATATGAGGCGGTGAGCGAGAAAGCCAAAGTTACACTGCAGCGCAGACAGGTGAGCAGCAGCAGGGTGAGAACGCCGAAAGCACACACAGATGACACGCATTTTTTGCAGCAGCTCTGGTATATGGGTAGTTTTTCAGGAATTTCTGCACCACCAAAGTCAGCACATGTGCCAGGCAAGGGATGTGCGTCAAACCGGCTAGGTCCAGAGCTGCTACGAGATTTCGACCATTATTGCACACCACCGGGCTTGAGGCTCAGTTGCAACAACCACTCATCGGTCGGTTGTTCCATGCCCGTCCTCAGCTCCTGCACAGTGTGAGGTTTCCCCCCCAAACATATGAGTTTGAAAACAGCCTGCTGTCGTTTCCACCTGGCTGTGCTGAAGTTGGTGGTGAAGGTGTTACGCTGACCGGATGAAGAGGTGGTAGAGGAGGAGGAAGCGGAGTAGGAGGAGGAGGCAACAGGAGGCAAAGCTGTGTACCCAAATAAAGATTGTCAAACGTTGTATCCTGGAACTGTGTCCCATCCAGTTACTGTCCCCTTCTTATTAAAGGGGATAACCATCGGTTACCCAGGTCCCACTTCAATTGGTGGCAAGCGGCGGGATCCCATGTCCCTGCCAACAGACCCATGGACTACAGTGCTCTAAAGCGACCTACACTGCAGGACTTGTGTGGAGCCAGAAGAATAAAGCCTGGTGGGCGTAACAAGGCCAAATTGACTGCTGCGCTCATGGAGGACGACCAGGCACGCAGTGAGGCAACGAACCCCAGCCAGGGGCCGGAGATGAGGAAAAAGTGCGCAAGGAGTTGGACCAGCGCCTGGCATATTACCGAGAGCCACTCTCAGAGGAGATTGTTAGCAGGACCTTTTTGGAGGTGCAAGCCTATGTCCTTGCCAATAGACAGAGGGCAACCTCCATGAATCCAGATGAAGGAAAAAGGGAGCAGAGGGCGTCAGGAAGCACAACCACCCTGGTCCACAAGCTACCATACAATGCCTTCAAAGCGTTCAAGGAAGCAGAAGAAGGCGTCGATGACTTTTTACAAGACTTTGAGCGCCAGTGCCTACTGCTAGACTTGGACCCCAGCGACTGGGTGACCATCCTGGCCAGCAAACTAGTGGGGAAGGCAGCGGATATTTACCGGGCTGTACCAGAAGAACAGATCAGAGACTATCCGTTTATTACACAAATCCTCCTGGCCCGGTATGCAGTCACCCCCGAGCAATACCGCCGAAAGTTTAGGGAGACCCGGAAAGGGGAGAAGGGAGTGGGCATGTTGCATCACAAGGGCCACCCAGAACTGGCTCAACTCCCATCAAACCAAGTTCCCGGAGTAGATCACCCAGTCGGTCATGCTAGAGCACTTTTTCAAAGGGCTCCCCAATGACACGGCTGGTGAGAGACTGCCAGCCCCAGACCCAAGAAGTATTGGTATGAGCTGCTGAAGCTAGCTCACGATATCCCCTTGACAGGGCATTTGGGCAGGAGCCGGACAGCGTCTCGGCTCACCCACAGCTTCTTCTAGCCAGGAATCTCTTACGATCTGAGGCAGTACTGCCAGATGTCTGCCAGAGAGTGGGGAAGAGAAGGGACCAGCACAGGGCCCCCCTCCATCCCCTACCTATTAGTGAAGATCTGTTAGGCAGAGTAGCTGTCGACATTATAGTTGCGCAGGCACTTTGGTCACTCTAGAGAACCTCGGGCCAATCGCACGTCCCTGTGACGGCGACGACGCATTCGGATGTCTGCCCTGTAACGAAATCCCTTATTAAACAGACTATGCAAATCAGCCTGTTCGGTTATTTAGACGTGTGTGGGTTAATTTCGTGCAAATAGCAATAAAACGACTAAACTGCCGAATCACCCGACCTCCTACTGAGGGTCGTGTGGCACCCATTAACCACCCAGACTTTGCGGTTAACCACAGAGTAATTGGGGAACAGCTTGGTGGTCCGCGTTCATCTGCCGAACACGTGGCAGTCGCCATTTTAAATTGTCGAATGCCCAGCAGTAAATGGCGGCAATGCCCTAGAACTCTTTTTCGGATACTTATTCTGCCGAACACCACTGATACCTACCAAGGTCCTCGTTCATACGGTTGAAAACACATGAATGCCGGAGACATTGCACCGTTCGGGACTTGGATTTATGCGAAAGAGACCGACCCCAGATAGCTACAGTGTGGAACTCTTTGTCGGATACAAACACGCGAACGGCCGGTGAAGTCCAAACTTCATTCGACGTTATTGAGAACTGTGTTCGTGGGATCTGAGCGCTATTCGCCTAGAATATGCACTCAGATCCATGCTATCTGGGGGTATGTGGGTCCCCTAGGGGAGTGTCCACCAGGTGGGAGACCTGCATAAATACCGGGCAGGTAGCCCCTATTAAATCAGATCGTTTTACCCCTTCATGAAGTCTCGACTCATGTTTGGGGGATTGGAAGCTATAATCACTCTGTTTCAGCGGGATTTCGGGAGAAGCTACAAGGATCAGCACTGCACGAATAGAAGGATCCTTTACATGCCCTATCAACTTTCGATGGACTTTCTGCACCTACCTTGGTGACCATGGGTAATGGGGAATCAGGGTTCGATTACAGAGAGGGAGCCTGAGAAACGGCTACCACATCCAAGGAAGGCGGCAGGCGCGCAAATTACCCACTCCCGACAAGGTGAGGTAGTGACGACAAATAACAATACAGGACTCTTTAGATGCCTTGTAATTGTAATGAGTCCACTTAAATCCTTTAACTAGGATCAATTAGAGGGCAAGTCTGGTGCAGAGCGACTGACCCGTGCGTGCTGCAGCTGAAACTCCACTATCGCATGTTGCTGCTCGCAAGGTGGAGTTCCACCTTGTGGGCACGTTGCATATGAGGCGATGAGCGGGAAGGACAAAGTTACACTACAGCGCAGACAGGCGAGCAACAGCAGGGTGAGAACGCCAAAAGCGCGCACAGCCGCTACAGTGAATGTCACATCCTGTTCCAAGTTGCAGATCAGTCTGGTGATGGCTTCTGGTATCCAGTACTATTTTTACTGAAGCTGCATCAGGGTCCTGGTATGTGGCCGCACAAACGCTGGTGCTCAACACCAGGGGGCGTGCGGTTACCCTGCACCAGACCCTGCTAATCCATTCCACAATGTGACTCCTAACTTCAACATCAGGCATACTGAGTCCCGGTCGTCCGTGTGAAACTTCGAATGGCTTGTTAAATCTGGTACGAACCTTTCGCTCAACTCTATTATGGATCCTTTGGTCACTCCATCTGTTACTTGGATAACTGTGGTAATTCTCGAGCTAATACATGCCGATGAGCGCTAGGGTCGGCCACTCCGCTTTTGCACCCTGCTCCCTCTTACGCTGTGCTGGTGCCTCTGTGCAACCAGCGCCTCTCCCTCCAAACTGCACACGTCACTCGCATGACCTTGATTCCATGTGCGGTCTAGGACCTCATCATCCTTCACATCATCTTCCACCCACTCCTCAACCCTGCCCTCCTTGATGGTCTGCACACTGCAGAAAGCCACAGCAGTTGGCACCTGTGTTTTTCCAGCATGTAAACTCTGCAAAGGACATATGGGAATTGCTTTAGAATTGTATCCAGGCAACGGTTTTCCCTATAAACTGACCTCTCAGTTTGACTTGTGAGGGTATTGCCACGAATTACAATATTGTTATATTGGTATTTGACGGTTCTATTTGACTGTCAGATATGAAGTGCAGGCCGCAAATGTACTATTTAGCATCCCAAAAAATTTGACTTTTTAAAAGTGTGCTGTAAGCACAGTGTTTGACGGTTCTATTTGACTCTCAGATATGAAGGGCACCGCAGGACGCAAATGAACTATTTAGCATTAGCACCCAAAACAATCTGAATTTTTAAAAGTGCGCTGTAAGCACAGTGTTTGACTGTTTTATTTGACTGTCAGATATGAAGTGCAGGCTGCAAATGTACTATTTAGCACCCAAACAAAATTTGAATTGGTCAAACTGCGCCGTAAGCCCAGTATTTGACGGTTCTATTTGACTCTCAGATATGAAGTGCACCGCAGGCCGCAAATGTACTATTTAGCACTCAAAACAATTAGAATTTTTCAAAGTGCGCTGTAATCACAGTATTTGACGGTTCTGTTTGACTCTCAGATATGAAGTGCACCGCAGGACACAAATGTACTATTTAGCATTAGCACCCAAAACAATTAGAATTTTTCAAAGTGTGCTGTAAGCACAGTATTTGACGGTTCTATTTGACTCTCAGATATGAAGTGCACACCCCAAATGTACTATTTAGCACCCAAAACAATTAGAATTTTTAAAAGTGTGCTGTAAGCACAGTGTTTGACGGTTCTATTTGACTCTCAGATATGAAGTGTACCGCAGGGCGCAAATGTACTATTTAGCATTAGCACCCAAAACAATTAGAATTTTTCAAAGTGCGCTATAAGCACAGTATTGGACAGTTTTATTTGACTCTCAGATATGAAGTGCACCGCAGGACGCAAATGTACTATTTAGCATTAGCACCCAAAACTATTTGAATTTTTAAAAGTGTGCTGTAAGCACAGTGTTTGACGGTTCTATTTGACTCTCAGATATGAAGTGCACTGCAGGACGCAAATGTACTGTTTAGCACCCAAAACAATTAGAATTTTTCAAAGTGCGCTATAAGCACAGTATTGGACGGTTTTATTTGACTCTCAGATATGAAGTGCACCGCAGGACGCAAATGTACTATTTAGCATTAGCACCCAAAACAATTTGAATTTTTAAAAGTGCGCTGTAAGCACAGTATTTGACGATTCTATTTGACTCTCAGATATAAAGTGCACACCCCAAATGTACTATTTAGCAACCAAAACCAGGGGCGCAATCAGGGGGTGACAACCATAACGGTTTTCACGGGCCCGGTGGCCCCATGTGCTGACGGTGCAGTTGCACCGGGACCCGCACGCTGTTGGGCCTATCGGGTGGCCCACGCAGTTAGGGTCACCCGATGGGCCCTGTATCTTCAGGGGCCCAGTCAGCGCTGCGGCTGTGCAATAGCGCGACCGGGTCCCTTTAAAAAAAAAAATCGCAGCCGCAATGTACTGCTGGGAGGAAGTGGCCAATCACAGTGCTCTGTGTCATTTTACACAGCGTGGGAAAGTTTTCTTTGTCATTTTACACAGTGTGGGAAAATTCAAAAGAACTTTCCCACGCTGTGTAAAATGACACAGAGCACTGTGATTGGATGGATTTCAAGCCATCCAATCACAGTGCTCTGTGTCATTTTACACAGCGTGGGGAAGTTTTCTTTGTCATTTTACACAGCGTGGGAAAATTCAAAAGAACTTTCCCACGCTGTGTAAAATGACACAGAGCACTGTGATTGGATGGCTTGAAATCCATCCAATCACAGCGCTCTGTGTCATTTTACACAGCGTGGGAAAGTTCTTTGGAATTTTCCCACGCTGTGTAAAATGACAAAGAGCACTCTGATTGGCTTAAACCCACCAATCAGAGTATTCTTAGCCTAATTGCAGGGCGGGGCAAGGCTTTATAAGCCTTCGCCCTGCGGAGCTCAGTCTGCGCGGAGCCCTCCATGGGTGAAGATGGATTTTTTTTTTTTTTTCGCTCAGGTTTTTTCTTTTTCGGCAGGTTTTTTTTGCGCTCGGGATTTTTATTTTATTTTAAGTTCGACGGTTATGATGGTTTTTTATTTGGCCTTTTTTGGGGCTGAAAAATGAAGATTTGAGAAAAAAGAAGACGTTGAATGGTAAGTTTACTTTTATTTTACAGGTTAGTTATTTTATTCCCCCCTCACTATTTTTTAGGGTGAGGGGGGTAGGTAGGGACTTTTTATTTGGGGGGGGGGGTGACTAGGGGCTTGGGGACCCCTAGTCACCTTGGGGGGGAATTTACTTAAGGCCCCCACCCGCAGCCCAGGGGTGGGGGCCGGGGGGGTGGACAGTATGTCCCCCCCCATTATCAATATGGCCCCTACCCGCTGCGCAGGGGTGGGGGCCGGGGGGGCAGTAGGTCCCCCCCTCATTATCAATATGGCCCCCACCCGCCGCGCAGGGGTGGGGGCCGGGGGGGGGGCAGTAGGTCCCCCCTCTCATTATCAATATGGCCCCCACCCCTGGATCCATATGTAAACATAATGTCAATGTTACCATTGTTACTTTGTTTTGATCTGTATTTTATAAATTTTATTTTGTGATGAAGTCATTTTGGCGGGAATATTCAAATTCCAGCACATTTATCAAACTCTATATAAAGCACTGCCAGTCAGGTTATTGTTTTTACTATATTCTACTTGAAGAAGCCTGTTGTGGGCGAAACACGTTTAGAATCTATTTTAATATATTTTATATTGTAATAATAAAGGAATTTTGGCCTCAAATATTTTATTGCCACATTCCTGTTCTTTTTATTATAATTTTTATCTTCATACCTGACCAACTTGAACCATCACGAATTTAAGGAAAATCCTTAGGTGGGGATTATACCACCCATATGCCTAAAATTGAGCAGAGAGGATTGCTCAATACACAGTGAGTATATTTCATATTATCCCTATACTCAATTTCAAAAAACAGTGAGCACTATATATTTTATTTGCTTCAATTTCCGGTCAGACTCCTTGGTGGATCATCCAATCTTCAAGAAATGGCTCCTTATATCCTTGAGTGGGGATCATTCCACTTCACGCACTTTATACCAGAGCTGGATTTTAGCTCTGGAAATTGTGAGTAATTCCATTTATTCTTTTATATATATATCCAGCTATACAGACATACTGTACCATTGGCTGTTCCTCTTATTTCTTTACATATTACCCATTGAAAATATCAAAAGTCATCATCCGGGACGATACCACATCACGTTACAAGAACACTCCCTATATATCTGTGGACTGCAATATCTGGACTCTTTTTATTCCCATTTTTACTGTACGTTTTTATTGATATATTTTACATATTTTTATTAAAGTCGCGCCCTATTCCTTTTGATTTTTCTATTTCTGTTTTAGCCTTAGGGGATAGGAGGGTTACCCCTTTTAGGTGTGCTGCCTTTTTACAGTTTATATATTTACTGTGGCACTACCAGCCCTGATCCTACTCTGATCATTTTCTACATATGTCTATGTCTGTCTGTTTATATATGTCTGTATGTCAATTTGTGTGTGTGTGTGTATTTATGTCCTTATGCATGTGTGTGCAGTGTGCATAGGAATTTGTTCATATTGTTTATTGTTCGGCCCCCAACAGTGTCTGAGAACCGTGAACTGGCCCCTTGTTTAAAAAGTTTGAGGACCCCTGTCATTATGTATGTATGTAATAATGAATGTATGTCTGTATCTATACATGTATGTCAGTATGAATGTATGTCTGCATGTCATTATGAACGTATGTCTGTGTGTATGGATGTCAGTATATATGAATGTATGTATGTATGTCTGTCAGTATGTATGTATATATGCGTGTATGCCAGTATGAATGTATGCCATTATGAATGTTTGTCTGTGTATGTATGTGTGTATGGATGTCAGTGTCTGGATGAATGTATGTTTGTCAGTATGTATATATGTATGTATGCCAGTATGAATGAATGTATGTCTGTGTGTATGTATGTCGGTGTATGTATGTGTATGTCCTCATGCATGTGTGTCTGTATGTATGTTAGTATGTGTCTGTCACTATGTATGCCTGTGTGCCAGTACGTATGTCTATATGCGTGTATGTCTGTTTCAGTATGTGTGTCTGTTAGTATGTATGCCTGTGTGCCAGTACGTATGTCTATATGCGTGTATGTCTGTTTCAGTATGT